TGAGTTTGGATTTCAGAGGCAGTGACTATTCTGTAGAAGATGAACAGAAAAATCAAAGAATAGAGGCAGGGATGGACACAAGAACAAAACCTTTATTAGCATAAGAATTAATAGACTGGAGTTACCTGCATAGACTAAGAGAAAGTGTCAAATGCCCTAGTGGGAACAGGGACAAAAGACCAAAACCAATTATAGACTGTCATGGTAGATGAAAAAGTAAGTATGGTATTCTTTGATGATGAGCTGTATATTCTGGATAAAGCCAAGCAGGACATGAGGAGGTCAGATGGAACACAGGAGAATTCTTCATTGCATGGACTGGCCCGAACACTGCATAATATCTGTCATACTGACCCCACTCACTAGATACCAGCAGCATCCTCCAGTTATTGTGATAGCCTAAATATCCACAGTAAAAAATCATAGTCTTGTTTCATGCTTAAAATCCTACATTAGCTTAAACATCATTTCCTTACTTAGGGACTTCTATACACGTGCTTGAGACTCATTTCCTTTTCTAGGGGAGCTCACCAGTACCTCTGCTCATCAGCACCTAGTTTCATTAGGTAAAGGCACCAGGGGTAGTGGATTTGAGGAGGTGGTCAAAAGGGAGACAGATGCAGTGTCAACTGTCATTTCACAGTTGAGAGGCGGGTTGCACTGACCCTGTTGCTCCCTTTGCAATACCTGGGACACTCCCATCTTCCATGTGACCATGGGCTGGGATCCCAGGACAATGGATGCTGGGTCTGTGGTAGGATTGCCTATAGGAGTGTCCTCCAAAGTCAGTCCATGATAAGGGGAAGTGACATGTTGGTTTGAAGGCTTCAGTCAGAGAGTCAATTCAAGAAAATATGACTCCTTCCCTCACAACTAAACAAAGATCTTCTTAGCTGAGGGATTTTTCCTCTCTCACCAGATGCATTCTACATATCTCCTCCTATTTCAACTTCTCAACTTCTTATGTGTTAATTACTTTATCAATATCATGTCTAATAGTGTTAATTTTAGCAATATCATATAATTAGTGAATGTTATAGTTCAGGTTTAAAGTCATTATTTTGCTAAAGCACATTCTATGTAAGAAATCTGTGAGGAATTTCATTATATCTCTATCCATTGAGTTACTATTATAGAATTATATCACAAATAACACCTTATTCATTTGCCAAATATCTTGAGTTCCTTCAGGGAATTACAGCTTTCTCACTTGACGATTTGACAGTAACTGTCCCTTGGCTGGTACACAATTGGTGACATTAGGTAGCTGAGATGATTAATTGACTCTTAATAAATAACTCTCAGGGTTCAGAAAGGTTAATAGGAAAAGTCTAAGATTGTTAATAGGAAAGTTAAACTAACTCTCCCAAAATGTCAACAAAAGTAGCTGAATCCAGAAAAGGAAAAAAAATCTCATTTATAATAGCAATAACAAAAAATATATAGGCTAAAGCTAATAAGAATTGTGCAGAGCCTTTAGGAAGGAAATTGCAGAAGTTTACTGAGAGGTGATATACCATAATAACACTCATTCAATAGTATAACAATGTCCATCATCACCAAATAACTTATAAATTTAATTCATTTGTGACTTATTAAAACATACAAGCTAGAATAATTAATTATAAGAGTGAAGAAATGATATAGAAAAAGGTAGAAATACACATGGAAAAGAACAGCTGCCAAGACACACATACATTTTAGCAGTTATTAATTATTACTTTTTAAAGAAGGCAATTCAATAAGCATAGCGAAAATGAATCATTCAACAAATGTTACTGGGATAAATGCCGACAGACATGGAAGAAAGGTACTCTATCCTTAACCAAGCCATGCACATGTAAATGGGCTTGAGGAAAATGAGGCAAAATGAGGATAAATTGAAAACTTAAGTAAGGTAAAAGAATGTTTATAAAACTTAAAAATCTGTAATTGATAAGACCTTTTAATACCTAATTTGAAATTATAAATAATAAAGGCAAAGATTGCTACATGAGACTACATAAAAATATACAGAAGTTCTGCACAGTCACAAAATACAATAAACATAATTAAAGTACAAATGACAAAACAGGAAATTGATTTGCCACATATAACAAAAACTGACACTAATTTAAAAAGTCTTCTTGCTAATAAATGACAAAAAGGATGAACACAGCAAAATAAAAATCAGCAAGGGCATGGCAAGGGATTTTAAAAGGAAAAAAATGAGCCCAAAGTTTAGAGAAAATAAGCCCTTGAATACTGCTGCCTACAATAGTTTTGCAAATATCTACAAAACCTTAGAACACACATAGGCTTTAACTAGCAATTCGACCTCTGGAAATACATTGGAAGGAAATAATCAGAAATGTGTGTAAATATTTATCCACATATATCAGCAAATAAATGATAAATAACTAAATGCTCCATAACAGTGGATAGCTTAAGTAGATCATAATATAATCATAAGAATTTTAAATAAAAGAACACAGGTTAAAAGTCTTACATATAATATGATCTCATATTTTTTTGTAAAAATATATTCTGGAAGATTACTCACTAAATGCAGTCTTTAAATGGTAAGACTATAGAAGATTTTGAGCTTATAATTCTATTTGCATGTTCGGACTTTTCTGTAATGAAACTACTATGTAATTTTAAAAGTTACTCTTATAAGAAAACTGGACTATATATTTTTGTCTATTAGCAATATTGCTTTCCCTAATTTATATTCTGATATTTCCTCAGCTTTCACCAAAGAATAAAGTAAGACACATGTTAGAAAGCCTCATACTGTATTGGTTCTGAGGATGTTTTTGAGGACACTGCCTACTCCATCTTCAGTATGGAGAAATAAAGGAGAAATATAAAAAATTCCTTTATCAAAGTGCCAAAAAACTTCTGCCTACCCATAGGAATTGGTATTTTTTTTTTATGGGTCATAAGAAACATTTAACAGTATACTTTTATTTTTCTTTAGGCACCCAGAATATTTAAAACCAAATACTTCATCTAATTGTAGTTACTATGTAGGCCCATATGGCTTATGTATCTGCCCATTCAACCTTACCTGGTCTTTATATTTCATTTAAATTAATAAATTCCCAAGGGATTAAGGATGGCCACGTGAGAGGTGAGACAGAGAACTCTTCCCAAAACATATAATAAGAAAATATAGTTAATACAACTAATCCTAAGAAAGCAACAGGAAAAAAAGCTGTGCCAGACTATATACACCTGGAGAACAGAGCAGCCCTCCAAAAAGGAGTGTATATCAATGACACCTTAATAAAAGAAAAAAAAGGCACCCAACTACACACAAAAAATTAATTAATTCCCTTGTCCTGTTATTTCACTGAATATGCCTTTTAATACACCCTTGTTTTGAAGTTGAGTATAAATAATTAAGTAGGATAATTCATTATTATTATCAGCTTCTAAGTGACAGTACACAACTAAATATAGTCTCTCCACTGGAATAAGTATTCCCAATATAATTTATTTTAGAACTGATTTTGAAAATAAAGGAAAATATGATGTTGTTTTGATAAATGAACTAAGAACGACCTGAATCAAAATAAGATGTTAGGAAAGCTATTTTTAAATCCCTATCAGTGTTATACTAGATCATGAAAGGCAGGGATAGACCCAATTAAATCACTATGTACACTGCCTAGATGTTTCCTTTCAAACAGGCTACGATAAATGCTTTTAGTAAATGCTTTCTTACATAGATGGTCAGACATGAAAAAAAAAAAGGAAAGAAAGGGTGTCACTGGGGCCTCTCCAAAGCACTCAGCAAAGGATCTGGTATTAGAAAATACCTTTTCCCCTCCACTTTCATATAAGCCAGGGAAGAGTAATTTCCAGTGAACTGTCCTCTCATGGAACTGCTTCCTTCCCTCTCTCCACCCCTTCCTTTTCCCCTTGGAAGGAAGAGCAATCTGCCTGGTGATGTCATTGATCTATTGGGTAGAGTCACCGTGCTTGGCATGTCCTTTTGTCTCCAGATAGGTCTAAACAGTGCAGTGGTTTTGTGCGTGTGGCAGATCACTGAGGTGTTAGCATCTGCACGCTGTCTTCATTGATTACTGAGCCTGTCAGCCAGATTTGCAAGTCTTCATGCAGCTGGTTGGGTCAGGGTGCTCAAAGCTTATTTTTATAATCTGATTCTCCCTTGCAGGTGAGTGATTGGATTTTAAGAAAAATGTGTCAAGTGTTTTATTCAGTCTTACTGTTAGCAAAGTGCTTATTTTAATCCCCATTTGGCTCTTTCATGGTTGAGGTAAGAATGTGGACATAGAAATGTATTTCCCCTGATGTTTAGCACACCATAGTGAACTCAATAAACATTTTCTGTTCTTATGTCCATCATTCTTCCCCTTTTCTCTAGCAGTTCTCTATGTTCATGTTTATTAGTTTTCCCTCTTCTCCACTTGTATGTTTTAAAAGCTGCTATATTCCATCTTTACATAATAATTAGGTTAAAGAAATCCTTGCTCTAATTTTACTTTCTTGTCAGGAAGAAAGACCTTAAGAACAATAAAAAGATTGAGAAAATGTGGCATTTATGGAAAAGGTATAAGAGTTTCCTCAGATATTTACAGATTTATTCTCTGAGACTCCAGAGGAAATAACAAGAGCAAAATAATGAGCAGTAGTGGAAGGAACATATGAGGAATAACTAATCCACAGAGCTACTTCAAATTTTAGTGGAATGTCCTTGACACAGGAGGTGTACAAGTAAAAACTGAACAACTAGTTAGAATGTTTTAGAAGAGATTTCAGCACAGAGTAAAGGATTAGAGATGAGGACATTTATACTCATCTATAATTCAGATTTCAGCACAGTTCTGTGGGTTGTGCAAGCACTGTTTTATGAACTGGAGAGTAGTAAATTATGCTGTATATGATTTTCATAAACTTTCTCATAAAAAATTTTAAAGTATCTTTAGAACTGGAAAAAAGAGGTAGTCAGAATAATTAGACAATCATGTTAGTGAAAGAGAACAAGTTACCTGTCTGGAAAAAGACTCTGGAAATAATTGTCCGACACAATGGGCAGGGAGTGCTTGCAGGGTTGTCTTTGGCAAGAGTCCGTAAGCAGGGCTCACAGAAGATATGATGGCAAGGGTAACACATGTATGGGTTGAAATAAACATCCAAACACACTGCACAAATGTAGCTTTCCTTTTCTTCTACATATTCATTGTCATCATCTGTACTCATCTCATTATTCAAAGTCTGCAAAACAAACACAAATTTTTCTTAGTTCAGTATGAGATTGGTTTCCTTGGGAGAGACCAATTTTATATTTTGTTAAAATGAATGAAAATTTATGAGAAGCACATAATAGCTGTTTCTGTGACATATGCAAAGTGACAGAAATGTTACCTTGAAAAATGAGAAGAAAACTGAAAACAAACATGAAAAACCGAGAAGTATTAATTCCTCTTAGTATTTTTATATAGTGCTAAATGCTAAAATGTACCTAAACCTATTAGGTATACCTGTATCTCTATTTAACCAGCACTAGTTAAGCGTTAGATATACCAGTCCCAGGATTAGATTCACCATCTATCCCACTCCCACTATAGCAAATAAGCTGACTGTCACAAGTTTATGGAGCCTTAAATGGGCATCTACACATGATGAAAAGTGAGAGCAAGAAGACATACTTCATCTTAATACTATTCATGGAGCATTCTCTATTCTGCACTTTGTACATTCCTGGACCTCAAAACCAAGAAAAGCCACAGACTAAGGACTGTGAGTAGACAAGGCAAAGGAACTTGCAGTAATCCTGGGAATGACTTTCAGCTGGGAAATAGTATAAGTCCCTCCCCACTTACCAAAACGAATAGTTATGAAAAAGGCTGTTAAGAGGTAGTTCAGAAAGAGGAAGCTTAAAGGTTAGCAGTAACAGGTCTGGTACAATTCTTGTTATTTAACTTCTCAATTTTCTCATCTGTCAGGATATTGTAAGGATTAAATGAAGTAATACACTGAAAGTGTTTAGCACAGTGACTGGCATACAGTAAATTTTCAATAAATGTTAGCCACAGCCCTCCTGCCCTCTCCCTGACCTCTTCCCCCTGCCCTTCACAGGCCCGTAAGTTTTTCTAGAGCCTTGAGAAACACTTCCTCAAACCAAGCCTGGACCCAGTCCACTGAAGCATAATGGTGATCTGCATGGTGTAATCTTTTCTCCATACTTTGATGTTTGTGACAAATGGAGATCAATGACTAAATATTTGAGTGGTCCTTTGGTTAATAAATATTTGTAAGTTACATGAGTAAGTTATATAAATGAGGCAAACATAGCACTTGAGAATCAGAAAAACCTTTCTACTGGATAAATGATAATGGCTTCACATACTATCTGAAAATTGGCCATTCCTATGAAATCTTTTGTAAGCTGAAACGGTGTAAAGAAACAATTACCATTTTGTGAAAGTGAAAATCCTCTTCAGATTTCCTTCAGTTATGCAGACACAGGTATTAATGTAGGTATTTCATAAAAACAAAGTGGCCTAACATGAACTTTTGGATAGCAAGGGAAACCTGTATTTGATTTATCCAAATGGCTTTGCCTCCCTTCTGCAGCCTCCTCCTGCCACCTTCTGGTAATTTCACTTTTTTAAAAGTCCTAATGCCATGTTGTTGAATACACAACAGATAAAATTCTTCCTATCTCTGTATGGGTATCTGTATGTATTCCTTCAAGATAGGGAGATTGTTTTTCTATCCTCTGAATTTGTTATCTGCCAAGTGACTTGGTTAGACCAATGGATGATTAGCAAATGTGATGCAAATGAGGCTTATAAAATGTGTGCTTCACATGGTCCTCCCTTGCTGCTCTCAGGGACCCTATGTTCACTACTATGTGAACAAGCCTAGGCTGGCATGCTGTATGATAAATGACATATGAGCATTACCTCCATTGTGACTGCTGATGAGTCAGTCACCAGACATGTGTGAGTGGAGTCAGTGATTATCAGCTAACTGCAAATGTATGAGTCAGCCCAGATAAGCCACATAGATCAAAGAAAAGTCATCCCAGCTGAGCCCAGCCCAAATTGCTAATCTAGAAAATTGTGAATAGAGGTTGCTTTAAACAACTAAATTTTCGGGTGATTTGTTACATAACAAAAATTCCTTAACACATTTCTTAACACATCCTTAATACATGGCTAGCTTTACCTCATTCTTAAAATCTTAGTTTAAATATCAACTTCCCCAAAGGATTTCACTGTTCTCTCTAAAGTCATTTTCTGTCACTGCTACTTGTTTCCTTTATAATTCTTATAATAATTTTTATTTTTTATTCCACATTTTTTCCAACTTAACAGAATGTTAAGATACATACATATATATATAAATCATATACATACATATATATATATAAATCATATATATATATATATATATATATATATATATATATATACACCTTTTATATTGCTGAAGGAAGGAATGAATGAATGGATAGGTTGTTCTAGAGTTGTTACCACTGAGAATATCTTGATTTTGGTGCTCCTATCCTCAAAATGACCATAGGTTCAGCTTATAAAACATTGTATTGATTTATATCTGCCTGTGGGTATCTATATTGTGTTTTAAGCATTCTTGTGGGCCTTTTGGCTTTTTCCAGCCAGATAATAAGCATTCCATGAAATCCCTTATAACATATAAAAAGTTTAACACAGACAGGATATGAAGCAAATGTCTCCCATCAAGAGAAAGCTTGTAGCTATGATTTGAACAATAATGAAGAAAAATATGTTGGGAAGGCACAGGAAAATAATCTTGCTCACTATTGGCATATGACTATTCTCTCCTGAACTTAAAAGATTCTTGAAAAATGAAAGCTATAAAATTGGATAATTAGTATTGAATTGGTCACCCCAGATAAAAAAACATCTTTGGACCTAGATGCTTACTTATCTAAATTTTATTTCATAGTGCCAGTTCATTCTGTTTGTGTTAGTCTCAGGATTATGCCTTGAGATTTGAACAAACTAACCTCAAAGAAACCCATTGAATAAAAAAGCATACTTTTAGGAACCCCTTAGAGCATCCCAAATTGTGGCCTAGATATTTGTGCAGAGTTTTATTTGTATGAAGTACTTCATACCTACACACACAATAAAAATGACTAGGCTTAATTAAATGAAATATTTGCGTCTTAAAAACACAAAAGTATTTTAAAAATAAATTTGAAGTTTAAAGTTTGAAAACAGAAAATGAGGGGAGGGGAAAAAGGTTTAAAAATCTTCCTACAAATACACCAAGGAAGCAACTACAGCAAATACAACTAACCCTGAAAATGACCTGAAGACTGCAGAACAGACCATTCACACCTGATGAAGAAGAAAAGACCACACAGAACAGGTAAAGTGGCAGAGCCACAATCATTTGGGACCCCAACACTTCCCCCATCCCAGAACACAGGTTGGAGAAAGAGGAATGGAGCAGGGAGGGGACAGGTGCTCAGGAAGTCTGCACACTTGGCCCTGGAGGTCTACTCTGGGAACATGAGTCCACAGTGCACTGGGTTTTAGTGATTAGCAGGGCTGGACACCAGAGACAGAGCACTCTGGGAAGCTGGGACTCCAGCTGCTTATGGAGGAAAGGCATGCTCCTGCAGTCCCACTGAGACCAAGACAGAGGCAGCAATTTGAAAGATTTGCCAGCAGTGGGAGGGGTGCCAGAAGGGCAAGGGTTGGACAGAGCTTTCTCAACAGGAGAAAGGACAGGTAAATGATACTTCCCCAGCCTTCCCTCTGCCCAAGAAGTTGGGCACTCGTGGGAGCCCCAAACACTCCTTCAGATAGAGGGGGGCTTTCCCAGTTTCCTTGGCCCTGTCTCAGCCCAACTAGCAAAGCATTTGCAGGAACCAGCTCTGAGCACTCCTTCCTCCTCACAGGTGGCTCATCCCAGTGCCATGCTCCCCTTTGACACCTTGCAATCATGTGCCTGTATGACCACCACACCCACCACATTAGCCCAGCAGTGCCACCATCACTGCAGGGCAGGCAGAGGGTGGCCATGCCCACAATGATTGTACTGCAGACACTGAAACAGCTCAAAAAGGGCTGGCTGAGGTGAACTGCCAGCCTTGTGCACTAAGATAGACTACTGCCAGCAGACAGACAGAAGGGCAACACACCCATGCTCACCAACAGCAACTGGGGCTCTATTGAAAAAGAGAACAAGGCACTGGAGAATAAAGGGTCTTGAGCTTTTGGGCACCACAGGACACCTTCTCCAGAAAGCCATTACTCTCTAGATCAGGAAGCATAGCAGATCTAATACAAATGAAGGAACACAGAAACTCTGACAAAATGAGGAGGCAGAGGAATATGTTTAAAATAAAAGAACAGGATAAGACACCAAAAAGAGGGCTAAATGAAATGGAGATCAACAATCTTTTTGATTTCAAAGGAAAAGTGAAGATTTCAAAGTAACAGTCATAAATATGCTCACTGACCTGTGGAAAAGTACTGAAGACCTCAGGAAAGATTTCAACAAAGAGAAAGAAGAGTTGAAAAGAGCTGAAGAATACAGTAACTGAAATGAAGTATACGAGGGAGGGAATAAATAATAGATTGCTACAAGTAGAGGAAGCAATCAGTGAGATGGAATAGAGAACAGGAAAAAAATGAAGCTGAGGAACAGATAGAAAAAAGAATCTCTAGAAAGGAGAAGTTGCTGAGAGAGCTGTGTGACAACTCCAAATGTAACAATATTCACATAAAAGGGGTACCAGAAAAAGAAAGAGACAAAGGAGTAGAAAGTCTCTTTGAAGAAATGATTGCTGAAAAATTCCCTAATCTGGGTAAGGAAACAGTCAGGTCATGGAAGTACAGAGAGTCCCTAACAAAAGGAACCCTAGCAAGAGGTAACACTAAGACATATAATAATTAAAATGACAAAGATTAAGGATAGGAAAGGGTATTGAAAGCAGCTAGAGAGAGAGAAATGATTACTTTTAAGAGAAACCCCTTTAAGCTATCAGTAGACTTCTCAGCAGAAACTTTACAGGCCAAAAGGGAGTGGCATGAAATATTTAATATATTAAAACACAAGGATCTTCAACCAACAATCCTCTACCCAGAAAGATTATCATTCCAAATTGAAGGAAAAATTAAACAATTCCCAGACAGACAAAGGCTGAAGGAAGTTACAACCACTAAACTAGCATTGCGGGATATGTTAAAGGGACTTCTGTAGAAGGAAAT